GAAAGAAAAGAGAGAAAGCTGATAAAACAACAAAGAATAATGAAAAGAAAGAAAGAAAGAAAGAAGGAAAAAGAAAGCAAGAAAGAAGAAAGAAAGAAAGAAAGAAAGAAAGAAAGAAAGAAAGAAAGGTGAAACAACAAAAATATAGAAATGAGGAGAAAGAAAAAGAAAGAAAAAAAAGAAAGAAAGAAAGAAAGATAAAAGAAAGAAAAGAAAGAAAAGAAAAAAGGAAAGAAGAAAAACAACAAAGAATATAGATGAAAAGAAAGAAAAGAAAAAAAAGATAGAAAGAAAAGAAAGAATAGTGAAATAAAATATATAGATATGAGAAGAAAGAAAAGTGAAGAAAAGAAAGAAAGAAGCTGATAAAACAAAAAAGAATATAAATGAAAAGAAAGAAATAAAGAAAGAAAAAAAGGAAATATAGAAATGAGAAGGAATAAGGAAGGAAAGAACGAGAGAAAGAAAGAAAGAAGCTGATAAAACAACAAAGTATAGAAATGAGAAGAAAGAAAGAAAGAAAGAACCGGGTGAAACAACAAAATATAGAAATGAGAAGAAAGAAAGGAAGAAAGAAAGGAAGAAATGAAGTGAGAAATAGAAAGAAAGAAACGCTGAATATCTCAAAAATAACGAACTGATCAGTTTTGATTGCGAGAAAGATGTATGAGAGTCACAGTTGATTTTCAGAGAGAAAAAGAAAGAAAGAAAGAAAGAAAGAAAGAGAATAAAAGAAAAAGAAATTCACCCACTAATTACGTGAAATTTTCTTGTAAATAAACAACCTTAGAAATAAATGGCGATTATTATTACCTTTGTTGTAAATTCTCAAGGAAAGAAATGAATGCTTAAATCCTGTTTCATGTTTTAAAAGAATAAAACATTGCCCATAGAACAAGTTTCGACTATTTACCGTTTTTGGTCACTTCTTGATCGGCACTTAGTCATCACCGGAACTGGCATCATAAATCACGGTCTCGAAGCATCTGCTTCACATTTTCTTATCCACCTAAATCTATCCCCTATGATAACATCGCCGGTATGTAACATTTAAATCTTTACCGTCCTACATTGATCACATTTTTTCGCTGTAAAAAAAAAAATGTGATCAACTCTCTGGTCCCGTCGAAGCAAGTACACGCCATGACACTTACATTGTAGCAAGCCACTCAATAAACAAAAAATACGCTATTTGCAAGGCTTGGGAGATACTCGAGATGAGGGGTTACGTTTGGGGCCATTTGTGTATATTGGAATGGAAGATAATTGTCAACTCTGGCCTTGAAAAGGTTAAGATTGTAGTGATCGGGGAAGTCGGTTCCACAGGGAAGTGGTTCGCGATAAGAAGCTGTTCGAGTGGAACTTACTTCTCACCGATGGAATATGGGGGAAATGTGGGTGGTTTGTTAATATGTAAGTGGCATGGTGGGTACTTGCTTCGACGGGACCAGAGAGTGTAGTTTTTTCCGGGCACCTTTCAGCGGAAATAGTGATAGAGCAACGAGAGGCTTGCCTCATCCGGCCTTCGAGAGACACATTAAAGAGTAGAGAATAATTCATCACACACAAGGGTTCGGAGAAGCTTTTGAACTCTATCAAGGCTGGAATGTGAGGTCTGGGCAGCACCGCCTAGATATGCCAACAGTTCTATATTTTGGGCCTGATTTGTCTCTTGTAAAGGTAGAGGATAGCAAGAGAGGGCCAAGTATTTGCGGGAGGTGTACAGGGAGCCAACCATTTTAGCTGCAGCCTTAGCAATGGATCGTATATACGAATTCTACTTCTGGTTGTGTATCAGCTTGAGGCCCAATGTCTTTCAATGCACGGTGCTTCCCCGAGAGGGCCCCTGTTTATCCTCATTCGCGGTCATATCGTCGATGATGGAATGTAACTAGCTTGGTCTTTGAGGCAGTGAATGTAACCAGCCAGTTTTTACCCCATTGGGTCGGTTGTACAAGATCGGAAGAGAGTTCACTCACCAATCTCTGACCATCGAGATTTTCAGAGATACGCCTGTATATAGTCATATCATATGTATAAATTTTTACGAATGATATAAGTATATTTTTAGTCAGATCATTTATGAAGATCAAAAAGGGGTTAAAACACTGGGGTACATCTGCGTTGACCTCTAGGGTCCCAGAGGACTGGCCACTAATAACTACTTTTATGGAACTACCTCTTAAGAAGGATTTTATGTTGGGCTACACTGTCGCAGGCCTTTGATATCTAGTGCTATGGTCCTCGATGTGTGTTTGTCGTCAAGAGCCTCACCGATTCTGTCAGTGATGGTAGTTAGACCATCAGCAGTAGATCGGATCAACCGAAAACCATACTGCTCGTCGCTGAAGGGATTGTTCTTTTCTAGATGCTCGATGACGCTTTTATTGATTATGCTCCCAAAGAGTTTTTTTGATTATACTAAGGAGACTGACGGATCTGTACTGGGAGGAGGAAGATCGCTAGCCTGCGTTCTTCAAAACCGGATATACCCTGACAC